CTACTTTTTTAACATCCAGCTTTTGGAGTTTTCAACTTCGTACATGTTATTGTTTGATTGGTCAACTTCTTTGAGGTTATGTAAGTTGCTTTACCCCCAAAATTTAAAGGACACCTAGATTTTACCTACATGACAAAAGCAGGAGAACCCAGTGCTACATGGGGGTGGTGGGGCATAATACTTGGCCTTATGTGCCTCTATCATGGTTATGAAAAACATTTACAGCAGGAAACATGTTTTCCCAGAAAGTGGATTGGGATTAGAGTTTTCTTCATAACATGCTTTTGAACTTAAGGTTGTTTTCCAATTGAAAAACACTTCTCTTGTTAATGTTATTTGTCTTAATCTTTTTGGTCGTAAATGAAAATCATATCAGAAAAGAGAGAATCTACAAGATGTAAACAGGTCATAAAGCCAAGAAAAAAAATCAAAGATTAAGTGGCAGCATAAAGAAACCCCTCTACTAACCGTGGGCCTCATACATGAGGCCTTATAAAAGTCAACCATATACATTTGGACTCAAATTTGAAGGTGTCATCCACAGTAAAACAACAAACAGCATTGCTAACTGCTCCCAAACTTGAAAAGAGACCAAATAACAATCTCACGAATTGAGCAATCACTAAAGGGATGGGTCCATCCAGTCCAAGGATGAAAATTTCGCAATGTATGAGCCCGTATTGGCTGATATGTGTCATATCTATGGGTCACCAATACACGAAATCCTTGCTGTTTCAGGGTTTACCCTATTTTGGGGGGGGGGGGTAGATGGTCCTTATACCAACCCCCTGAATAGGTTTAAAAAAAACTATAAAAAATGTGGTGGTGTTACAAAGTCTGATATGCCGCATTTGGCATATTGGACTGTATCGATACTTTGAACCTTGATCCAGCCTATACCTTGGGATGCATAGCGTACTATAATAGCATTGTTTTATAATCCTTAATAATGTTTCACAATTACCAATAAGAAAAGAATTAAGCAACCACCCACCAAATCAGAATCATCAACGGGAAAATAGACTATCCACTAACTGACATCCAGGGGCCTCACTAAATCAACATATACCATAGTATTATCATGAATTAAGCAACCTTTGGTTGTACATGAAATACTTAAGTTTGTCTTGCTACTTCCACACAAGGATCAAAGTTTTGGTATCGGGTATCGTACTGGACAACTCATATATGGATATGGATACAGATACACTTTGGAAACACATGGGTATGAACGAAAAAGATGGAAACACTTTTCTTTTTTTTGATAAATGAATGAAGTTTATTAATCAGCAGAGGAGAATAGTACAATGTCCCAAGGAGAGGCACGMGATGCAACCTCTCCAGGTTAGTTAAGTATAGCTTCTAAAATATTATAACAACTTAGAAAGTAGCACAAAAAAGGACCTCCCTGGATACCCCCTGTTTAGCCAGAGAATCAGCCATAGTATTAGCTGACCTACTTACCCATTTTACCTCAAATCTCATATTCCTAGTTAACCACTTTACTTTTTTGATGAGGTCTTTGTAGCCCCAAATGGTAGCATATGGGTTTAGAAGCCACCTTGTTACCACTTGAGAGTCCCCTTCAACTAGGAGATGATTCACCCCAAGCTGGTTAGCGATCTGAATTCCTTGTACTGCAGCTAGTATTTCTGCCCTGGTAGAGTCCCACACTCCCACCGGTCCTGAGAATAAGGAGATGATATTGTTGTCCTTATTCCTCGGGACACCCCCTATACCTGACGGCCCAGGGTTACCTTGGCTGCTTCCATCAAAATTTAACATGATGACACCTTCTGACGGTGGATCCCATTCTGATAAGCGTTTATTCTTCTTTGTAGAAGTATTAGCTATTACTAACCAATTCCTCCACAAGTCATCAAAAGAAAAATCATCMAATATCTCCACGGTTTTCAGCCAATGTATTGCTCTTGTTAGGATGCAGTCCTTCACTTCATCTAATCTTCTTTCCTTCTCTAAGAAAACTCTTGCATTCCTTTCCTCCCATAGGGTCCATAAGGTTGCTGCCTTGACACATTTCCACATGAACTTGCCTCTTCTAGTGTGCCAAACAAAAAAAGATGGGTTAAATAACATACTCAAATCAGTTGGTGGAGACTACTTACCTCCAAATAAACTAAGGCTCCAACTCCATAAGTCTATAGCAAAAGAGCAGGAAATCAGTAAATGGAAACAATCCTCATTATGGGCCTTGCACAAGAAACACCAATTCGGGGAGAGACAAAGAGAGGGCCGCTTTTTCTGCAAGTTTTCCAAAGTATTGATTTTCCCATAGTAGACTTTCCAACAGAATACAACAATTTTTGGAGGGATAGGTTGGGCCCAAGCTTCTTTGAAAGGGAACCCTTGGGAATTGGGGTTGGAACTGAGGGATTTTTGAAAAGAAGAGCAAGTGAAAGTACTTTTAGGAAGAGGAGTCCAAACTCTATGATTAGACGAAGTGGGGTCCAAACAAATAAACTGTAGTAAATGTAGAAGCTCAGTGATACAAATCGACTCACCATCCCTCAATCCCCTACGAAAACCGAAATCCCAGTTTAAAGACGAGGGACTTAACGGGTTCGGAAGAAAATTTGCAATCAGCTCATTTTTGTGAAGGGATAGAAAGCGAGGGGAATCGATCTTTGAGGGGTTGAGTACCCACCCAAACATCCTCCCAGAACCTGATAACATCACCAGAACAGGCATCATACCTGATAAAACTGAGGAAGCGAGGGAGAATACCATGTATAGCTTTCCAAGGTTTTGTAAGGGTAGCTTGATGAGATATCCCGGCATCCCATCCATTTCCTGAGCAGCCATGAATGCTAAACACCACCTCATGCCATAATCTCTCTCTCTCTCGGGGCCATCTCCATAACTGCTTCCCAAGGAGGGCTACATTCTTCAGCACTATATTCCTTATCCCTAGACCCCCTTCTTCCTTAGGTTTATTAACTATCTCCCATCTAACCAGATGATCCTTTTTCACCTCCCCTCCATAGAAAGTCCCTCGTTACCTTCTCCAGTTTCTTAGCCTCCCTTGGGGGAATCCTGAACACTGATAGGTAGTAGGTTGGAAGGTTGGCAAGTGTAGCCCTAATCAAGGTCACCCTACCCCCTATTGAGATGTAATTCTTTTCCCAAGATGCCTATCTTTTATCAAAATTTTCCACAATAGGGGCCCATAAACTACTTCCTTTAGTGTTAGCTCCTAAGGGTAGCCCTAAATAGGTCAAAGGCCATGGAGAGGTAATGCAACCTAAAGATATGGAAACACTTGGATACGCTAGGAAAATGTATACAAATCACATAAATACATTAATAACACTTCTTTTAATGTCAAAATAGCCACAAATAATGTATTTATCAAAAAAAAGCCACAAATAATGTTAAAATACATAAGTAATACATATTTTAATGGTATATATGATTAAATACGTTACAATTAATATAGCGGGATTCATATATGTCATAAAATTTATGGATGCATCATTTTTTTTAGAAGAGTCCAATAACAAAAAAGTTAACTAAAAAAATTCTCAAATGTTTTGGTAAACAATATTTTTATTTTTGTAAACAATAAATATGTTATTATAAAATGTAAATAAAAATATCAATTAATAATTTATAAAAATACAATCTTAACTTAAAATATATCATATCTATTAAAATTTCTAAGATATACATCATATGAAAATTCATAATTTTTAATTACTTAACTAATTATTCCATTATTAATATTTTTATTTGTGTAAACTTTCTAAAATACAAAACCAGTTTTTTTTTTTGTTATAAATGTAGATTAGTAGATGTAATAGATTCAATTTACATTATATCCTTGAATATTTTATAAAGAATATTATTATTTTTGTAAATAATAAATATATTGTTATTTAATGCCAAAAGTATTAATTAATAATTTATAAAAATTTCAAGATACATATCATGTGCAAATTTATAAATTTTAAGTACTAAAATAATAATTCTATTATTAATATTTTTATTGTATAAATTTCGTGGTATTAAAAATCAGTTTTGGATATAAATATGGATTTGATAGATTATTTATTCAATTATTTTATACATTTTAAGTACTAAATAATTATTCTATTATTAATATTTTTATTTGTATAAATTTCGTGAGATTAAAAATCATTTTTGGATATAAATATGGATTTGATAGATTATTTATTCAATTAATTTATAAATTTTGAGTACTAAATAATTTTTCTATTATTAATATTATTCTTTTTAATCTATAGTTGGAGTTGTTGAAACATATTTTATTTGTTTGGACCACCTTTGAACATTAAAGATAGTGAAAGTTTTCTTTTATTTATTGTTATAAGATGAAAGGTGGCTTACTGGTTTAAAGATGCATTTAAGTCTGGGGAGTTGTGTGACCTGGGTTATGATCATGCCAATTGTGTTTTTTTTTTACTAGAGATACAATTCATTATTTCTGTGTATCGGTGTGTATTGGCCAATACAATGCGATACAAGCCGATACACACTTGTATCGGTCTGATATGAACAACTTAATGAAACACTAAGTTGTAGCGTATTCTTATCCTTGCAACTTGATACCAATATGATATGGGGTGTATTGTGTCAATATTTAAAACTTGCTTCTACACCCCTGTTTTTGAGGCTCCTGATTGTACCTTCTTACTTCTATTCTGCTTCTGGTTCAAAGTTCTTGCAATGAATTTAGGATTTCTTCCTTGCTTTCATGAAAATCACTTGGTAGGGAATGACTCTTAGCTATTCTAACCAGTGGATGCTCAAAACTTGAACATTTTTCCATTTTACCTATTTGAACACCATTTTTGTTTTTTTTAATTTCTTATAATTCTGACAGGCACTTTTGTTTTTCTATCTTTTCTTATTTCCATATAACTTTTAGTTAATTTATACTAATTCTGTTGGGTGTAATAGTTATTTATCTTTTATTAACAATGTCAAGTTGTGCTTATGTTTCAATGCAATTTCTGTAGAAATTTGGCAGTGCGGAAGAGGATGCATTTAGAAGGGATTTAACCATCAATAGGTAGTTGAATCTGCATTAAATGTGCTGCGTTTATCTTCTTCTGCTGTTACCTATACTACTAATTGTCAAATATGAATACTAGAGAAGCTACTGAAAGCTGTTTGGAAAGCTGCTTGTCTACTTTCTAGAGAAGCTCCTGAAAGCTGCTTCACATAAAAGCCACCCTCCGAAGCTTGTTTGGAAAGCAGCTTCCATTCACAAAATGGGGGCCATTGCTTGGTGTAATGATAGAATCTCAGACTGACAAGCATGAGAATGTGGGTTCAAGTCTGAGAGCAGCCACTTTGTGCTAAAAGCAAAAAATGGCCAAAAGTTAGGGGCAATACTTGTCTCCCACCACAGTCAGATTCAAGTGTCTGACCATCTCTTGATTTTCAGGCCTAAAGCTTAAAACCTAAATCCTAAATTCCTGAACCATAATCCTAAAGGCCTAAGCGTTAAGCCCTAAACCCCTAAACCTTAACTATAAACCCTAAGTCCTAACCCTAAAGCTTAAATCTTAAACCCTAAACTCTAAACTCTAAACTCTAAACCCTTAAGCCCTAATCCCTAAACCCTAAAGTTAGTGTATAAAATGGCTTTGGTTGGACACATGTCCTCTAATCGGGTTGGAGTTTAATATTTTCCAAAGGTTAGGTCCATATCCAGCTTACCCATCTCTAGACCCCAGATACCTGGGTTCAATGTTTGGTAATGGCCTTTTAGTGTCCATTCACAAAATGAATCCCAAATCCCATAAGAGCCCTCCTTTTGTTACCGTCCATCTTCATTGTTCCTCCTCACCCTCATATTCCAATCCTTGTCCCAACTATATGGGTTGGTTACATGAATCCTATTTCACCAGTTCCTTTTATTTAATGCCATATCCATTGTTAAATTATTGGTGCTTAAATCATTTCTTACTACTTAACCATGTCCTTTATGGTCTACCCTTTGCTCTTCTAGCCCCTTCAACATGTAACAAATTACTTTGTCTTATGGGTGCTGTTGATGGACTTCTATGCAAACCATCTTAGTCTACTTTCTCTCATTTTACCACCTACAGGAGATACTCCTAAGTCCCTACATATGAGTTCCTTTCTGATTTTATTCTTTTTAGTTTTCCACTCATCCATCTTAGCATACACAATTATGCCACTCATTTTCTGGACATATTGTTTCTTGACTTCCCAACACCCTTCTCCATACAACATAGCTCGTATTACAACTATTTTATAGGATTTTCCTTTTAATCTAAGTGGTAGTCGCCTATCGCATAAAACTCCTGTCCTGCCCTAATTCTGTGGACAGTATCCTCCTCAATCTCTCCCTTGTTATGAATTATCAAACCAAGGTACCAGAAAAGGCCACATTGAGTTATCTCAATCCATCTTCATTGTTCCTAAAGTGGTTTAATGATAGAACTCCAATCTTCTACCCACAAGTCACTACAACTGCACATTGGGAACATATTCCCATCAATGATAACTCAGATGTTCCTGATGTGCAGCTGTAGTGTCTTGTGGCCTTGTGGATAACAATACAGACTCTTAATGATGAGGCTCCTGAGTTGATCAAAAGCTACCCCAAAGGCCCAAACGCAATCTCAGCTTCAGAATGAAATTAGTTCTACCACCCCCATTCACATTGTGTGTAGTTAGTTTGTCCATTATCTGTAAATTTGTTTATTTCTTAGCTCCAATAATTTGATTCCTCTCCAGGAAAGCTAGCTGGTGCTGGCTTGAGGAGTGTTCCGGGTGTATTGTGAATGAGGAATGGGGCTACTTTAGGAAGAAGATTTATACTTAGACCAATTGGAGTCTGCTTTTTAATATGTGCAATTTAAGTGTTAAACTGTTAACATTAAGCATCCTTCTCACTAGAGAGAGAGGTAGAGATGTGTTGTAGACTTGTAGCATTTGTCCTAACTTTTTCTTTTTCTTCTTCTTCTTCTTCTTCTTCTCCTCACCTTATTCGTAACATGAATTTTATTTATTGCCTAAGCATCACTAGGTCATGCCTTGCCTTGGAGGTCAAAATTCCAAAGTATTTGGCAGTGAGCGACATTGACTACATCTAGATTAATTTGTTATTGATCTTTTGCTTTGTTTGACAGCTTGTTCTATAATATCAATACTAGTTCGGTGGAGGATTTCACTAAGAGAGGTTAGATTTGTTGAACATTCATGACATTTGTGTATATTGTGGGATAAATAGTCACTTAACATTTTTTTTATGATTGTTCTTTCATTCAGGTGTTGCAGATCTTAAATCTGGAAAGATAGTTACTCCTTTACCTCCAAAGGAGACATTTTTGGATGATCCTCTACGAGTTCTTCGAGCTATTCGTTTTGGTATGTCAGATTATCTTTTCCTTTATTCATCTATTCACATTTTGAATTGTAAAATTTCTTTGTTGAGAATTACATAAAAACTTGGTAGTACCAGAATTGTCATCATGAATTAGAAATTGTAGTAATATCAACATATAACTTGGGGTGGAATCTATAATTTCCCTCTAATTTTATTAAATTGTCTTTTCTTCTCCTCTCTTCTTGTAGGGCTGTCAATGGGTTGGGCAGACCTAATAGACTTGAACCAAACCAACCAAATTATATAGGGTCTGGGTCTACATTATTTGTCTTAATTATAATTGTTTTGAAATTGGTTTGGTTGTTCTCAAACCGATTAAGACCCTAACCCATCATCATCATAATCCATGCCTTATCCCAACTATATGGGGTTGGCTACACAAACCCTGTTTCACCAATCTGTTCTATTTAAACCCGTATCACTGTTAAATTATTAGTGCTTAAATCATTTCTTACTACTCTATGTCTCTCTACACATGTCCTTTTTGGTCTACCCTTAGCTCTTCTAGCCCCTTCCACTTGTAACAATCACTTCTTCTAACTGGAGTTGTTGGTGGTCTTCTATGCACGTGACCAAACCATCTTAGTCTACTCTCTTATTTAATCACTTGTTGGAGCTACTCCTAGGTTTCTACAGATGGCTTCATTTCTAATTCTATCCTTTCTAGTTTTTCCACTCATCCATCTTAGCATTTGCATTTCTACCACACTCATTTTCTGTACATGTTTCTTGACAGCCCAACACTTTGCTCCATTCAGCATAACTGTCCTTACAACTATTTTATAGAATTTTCCTTTCAATCTAAATTGTATTCTCCTATCACCCAACACTTTGGGTGTCATTCTCCTCAATCTATCCCCTGTTATGAATTATTGAACCAAGGTACTGGAAATGGTCACATTGAGTTATCTTGTCTTCAATCCTAAGAGTATCCTGATTTACACTCCTATTATTACTAAATTTACATATCATATACCTTGTTTTAGCCCTTATTTTAAAACCTCTAGTTTCTAGGGCATTTGTCCATAAGCTTAATTTTGCTTTTAACATGCACTATGGAACTTTTTCTTGAACATGTTCTTAATTAGGTCATTGTAACTAAAAAATTTCAGGCCTCTTCCACTGGTGTTTTAACATTGGTTGCCACCCCTCGTACATATCCTTAATTAGGTCTATGCCCCTATTTTGAACCCCTTTATTTTCCAAGACCCACCATTTTCTCTCTCTAGGACTATATCATAAGCATATTTTAGATCAATGAATACCATATGAAATCTTTCTTCTTCTCTTTCAACTTTTCTTTTAATCATCTCGAAAGAAATATAGCTTCTATTGTTGATTTCCTTAGCATAAAACCAAATGGGTTCTCTGGTACACTTGTTACAATTTGTAATCTTTGTTTAATTTCTCTCTCTCAAAGTTTCATAGTGTGTTCATGATTTTAATCCCTCAATAGTTATTTCAACTTTGTATATCACCTTTGTTCTTATTAATCCCTCTCAAAGTTTCTCCTATCATTAGGCATGCTCTTTTCTTTTACTATCTTATTAAATAGCATAGTTAGTTATAACAAACTTGCCTCTCCCATACCTTTTCAAGCTTCTATTGCAGTCTCATCAAGTCCTAACACCTTTCCCTTCATCTTATTTAGTGCCTCTTTTATTTCAGTAGGTCTAACTCTAAGAAGGTATTCTTTTTAACACTTTGCTAGCTTATCCTCCGTTAGCACTCTCTCACTGTTGTTTATTTAATAATTTTTCAAAATAGTTTTTTTTCCCATTTTTGTTTGATTTCCTTATCTTTTACCAAGATTCTTTGATCTTTATCTTTAATGCACTGAACATGGTTTAAATCTTTGCCTTTCCTTTCTCTTAGCTTTGCTAGTTTTTGCATTCATTTTTCTCCCTCTTTACTGTCTTTTTGGTTTCCGCAACTTGGATGAGAAAATAGGAATCTTTATCTTTTCCCAAGATTCTTATTTTCTCTCATTTGTTTTGGCCAAAGGAATGAGGTGCGATGAGAACTCACTTGTCAAAGTTAGGAACGTGGGGCCTCACCAAATAGGTGCGACCCCACCGAGAAACGAAAAATCTGAGATGCGAGTGAGAAAAAAATATTGAGGGCATGGAGCTGGTATCTCCACCAAGCATCACACCCCTGAAACAATCAGAACTCTGACCATTGTCATCTTCATCTCCAGCGAAGGTAGGACCTTCGATCATCATCTTCGTCTCCGTTTCACAACATTTAAACCTTTTCTGTATTTTCTTTGCTTGAAACTTCATTCTCTTTCTCTCTCTAGTTGAGCTTCAAATCCTAAACGATAAGGAGTCGGATCATTGTCTTCATCTCCGGTGAAGGTATCTGTAAATGTTCTTCATTTTCCTCTTTGAACTTTTTTTTTTGTATTTTTTTCTCAAAACCTCATTTTTCTTCCCATGCGTTTCAGAGCCCCAATGGCCAAGGAATCTGATAATCATCTTCTTCATCTCTAACAAAGGTTAGATCCGTTTCCTTTGTTCAAATGTTTTTTTTTTTGTATTTTTTTCCTCTAAACCTTTGGTGCTTTCCCCTAGTTAGAGTAGACTAAAGAGGGGTATTTTGGTCCTTTCCACTAAGTAAGGTGTTAGCTGTATGTCTCTTCATATGCAGGGGCATTTCAGTCTTTGTAATATTATTTTTTGTAATGTTTAAGCATATGGTTGACTGGGTTAGATGAATAGTCTTCTCAGTTCGAAACCATTCTTCCTCTTCTCCCTCCTCTCTTCTTCTTCTCTTCTTTCTTTCTCTTCTCTCAGTTCAGCTGAACAGCACAAACATGGTATCAGAGCACCATTGACAGCAGTCGATTAGAGGCTTGACCTTTGGTGACAAGGAAAGAGTACAACAGTCGAGTGAACAGAAAAAAAAGGTTTTTTTTTTTTTCGTGTGGACTGCTGTCACCATGTGTGTGACAGCTGTGGTGATCGAGTAGGTGCAGTCATGGTGGTCTGAACCCTCAAATGAGCAGTTTCAAGAGGGATTCTTTGTGGTTTTAAATCTGCATGTTAGCAGTACAGTGGTGTTTGAAGTGGCCGAATGTATGCTAGGGAAAGTACGTGATGATTGCAAGTGTACTTGTGTGGTAGCTGACGAAGTGTAGTGCAGTGGTTGCAACTGTTTTTTTTGTGTGTGACGGGCAGAACCGACTTTGTAGACTGAAATGGCTTCGATGGGTGATGTGAGTGGTGACTAGAAATCAAGTGTCATTATCTCCTTTGATTTTTTAAACGTCCAGATGACCTCCATCAAACTTAATGGTGAAAACTATGTTCCGTGGGCCAAGTCGGTGGAGGTGTTTTTGAAGGCTAAGAAGAAAGTGAATCATGTACGGGAGGAGAAACCTAGTGCTGAATTCCCAGGTTTTAGTGATTGGGAGCAAGAGGATGCTCAAATTAAGACGTGGTTGTGGAACAATATGGAGCCTAGAATCAATGTTAATTTCATGTTTTTAGATACAGCAAGGGATATATGGGAACATGCCAAGGAACTCTATTCCGGACAAGACAACATCACAAGGGTTTATCAGCTTTATCAGGAATACTTCAGTTTGCAGCACGGAAATCAGATTCTTGAAGAATATTACGCAAGTATGAAGAATCTTCGAAATGAACTTAATGTCTATCATCCCTTGACTCCGGACGTCAAAGTTCAGGAGCAACAAGGGGAATAACTAGATGTTACTCGGTTCTTGGTGGGACTGAAGGCAGAATATGAACCTGTCAGAGCATAGATATTGGGAGGGTCTGCTCTCCCTACCCTAGAAGAAGTGTTTGCCCATCTCTGTAGGATATCTCTCACCCCCATAGTGTAAAATACCTTCTGACAGATCAGCACTTGTTGGCACTCGAGGTGGTTCTTATGGACACAGAGGAGGTGGTCGTATAGTTAAGGGAGGCCGTTGTAACCCTATGGGTGGTCGTGGCAGTGGATGAGGTTGTGATTCAGGGGGAGGTCGTGGCAGAGGAAGGGGGGGCACTACTAGAAAATGCACACATTGTGGGAGAGAAGGACACACAGTTAACTTCTGCTATGATTTGCATGGCCCACCATCAACATGGGCTAATTATGCAGTTGTTGGTGGTAGTGAAGTCAATGGTATTCAACTAGTTGATCCATGATCCTCTATTGTCACAACTACTTCTGGGAAGGAGATGATGAGTATTCAAAGAGAGGAGTATGAGAGATTTCTCCCGGCCACCTCACATTAGAATACTGCCACCCTTGCTCATTCAGGTATAGCTTGCCTAGCATCCAAACCTTCACCCTAGATAATTGACTCTGGAGCCTCTGATCACATGACCGGCACTCCAGGTGTGTTTTCCTCCCTTTCTCCAACCTCTACGTCAAATAATGTTACCCTTGCCAATGGATCTACTTCCCCCATCTATGGTGTTGGTAATGTTAACACAACATCTCTTTCTTTGACTTCTATTTTATACATTCCCAAGTTTCCTTTCAATTTTATGTTTATTAGTAAACTAACCAAATCCCTTAATTGTTCTATTACATTTTTATTTTGATCAATAACAAGTTCATTAAATTCATTGAAACAACATAAGAATAATTACAGCAAGACAGACAAATATTCTTATCTTCCAAATACAACTTAAATCCTCAAAAAAAGAAAAGAAAAGGAAAAGAAGAAACAATTAAGTTACAACTTGGCCCAAAACATTGCTTCCCTTTCTATCCCTTGTTTAGCTAATCCATCAGCTATAGAATTAGCTGATCTTTTAACCCAACTCATCCTGAGTTCCATCTCCTGCACCAGCCACTTGAATTTCCTCCTCTCATTGCTATAGTTCCATAAGCCACAATTGTCTTTAATCAACCACCCTATCACCACCTCCGAGTCCCCTTCAATTATGAGTTTTCTGACATTCCTCTCCTTAGCTTTCTGGACTCCTTCCATAACTGCCAAGATCTCAGCTCGAAGGGA